TTCAATACTTTTCAATGCTGATGCGTTACGTGAATTTTCTTCGTCATATATTTTTTCAGTCCTGTCCTACTTCATATCTACAATATGGTGTATTCGCTTGCGCTCATATAGTTTTTCGGTCCTGCCCTACTTCATATCTACAATGTGGTGTATTCGTTTGCGCTCTTGAGCTGGATATTTACACTCGTTATCGTAATAAAGTAATAGTTTTTTTTTTACGATGAATATTTGATGACAAATAATTTCGACGTACGAACGTTCGTAACTTTGCGGCTTGTTTAACTTACGCATAATTTAAAACGGTCTTACTTCATCATTCAAAAATAATTTAGCACAAACTGCCAGGCAAACGTAACGCACAAATAATGTGTATGCCTCAACAAACAACGTTATTCTTAGCCTTTTATCGGCTTATATTTACCTCGCATATCAGTTACGTCTTTTGCGAAAGACCTGCTTAAGTTACGCCGTTATTAATAGGAAAGTTTTTTCCGTGGCGAGTTGTTTGTTCATCGCGAAATCTTCACCGCCACGATGTATCGATGTTAAAAAATCTCGTATCATAACACAAGATTCTCGCAGCAGCATAAATTTCTTTTACGATCCTTGCACGTGCGAGCAGCAGAATCTCTCTTAAGCTGGCAGGACAAATGAGGAAAATTGAATGCAACCTATTGGATTATTTAGTATATATTTTATACTTTCCAGAATAATTTTGCACCCCGTACCATTTAGGAAAAACTCGGCGCTACTAACTTAATATGTGAAGCTTGACATGAATTTTATATATGCATACTAGAGGAATACATTACGCACGCGTCATTTAGCATTATCCTTATTTTTAGTAAAATTCTGTCTGTTGTATGTTCTTTATACAATTCTATACAATGGACCAAGCCGACCCAAGTTTGGCATAGTTATTCAGTAGGATTCTGCGAAAAATATAAGCTACCTTTTAACTTGGAAATCCAATTACCACACGGAAAAAAATGATATGGTGCACATAACCAGAAATATTTAGTTGTAAGCAATATAGCTGCATTATCCTAGTTATCTTTATGCAATAATTATGTGTATGATTGATATGACTTTGTTACTTAGTTGTATCAACTACATCAATGTAGTTGTACATGATCTGGTTGTGACAACCAGACTTTGGTTGGAGTATTATTTGCTGTGGATATGATATTCTATCCACATTGTTGCGTCAATCAGGATACGTATTGCAAAGGTTAAGGCAACCAGGTATCGTCACTGCTGCAACAATGTCATTTAACAATTGCTCTGTGGTTACAACAACCAGATAATTAGTTGTTCCATATTTTACTATTTAATCTGGTTGACACAACCAGAATTCTGTTTGTGACAACTATATTGTTTTTTCCGTGCACGCACTAAAATCAATATCAATTTTCGCCTCCTGAAATTAATAAAATGTTATATGCCGTACCTAGGAGTACTTGTAGTAATTAGAATCAGAATTTGTGTGCATTTATAAAAGTTGAAATATAATAGATCAAAGTAACCTTGCACAAAATTAGAGACAACTTTTGCCTCTTGAAATCAATTAAATGTTATATGGGGCACCTAAGAATAATTACAATAATTAAAATGAGAATTTCTGCATTTATAAAAGTTCGAATAGAGTTTGTTCTCAGGAAACAATTGGCGGCTCGCCAATGGTAGCAACAGCCACGATCGCCCGGTGCTCTTATTTTCACTTATAACGTAATTGTGTGTGAGTATGTGTGTGTGTATGTGTACGATTGATTCGTGAGTTTTGGGATATTCGCACAAATCACAATTCGCACCGCACACATTCGAACGTCCTGCTCCCTTCGGCTATTTGGCAGAAATCCAAGATATGCGTGTGAGGACGCCAATCATAATTCTCCCAGATCCGATCAAGACCAATTACTCACTGCATAATAACAACGTTTACCCGACTATTCCGGTGATCCATTACTACAAATAGCTAATAAACGATGCAGAAAATGAAGCTTCGGGAAATATTAAGGATCATTTAGATTTTAATCCTTTTTTAATGAAAAGTCAATACCGCAATAGTGGCGAAATTGTTTTTTGGCAATCGACAAAGCCGAGGCAAAAACTCTACCGTGCAGAAAATAATGAAAATCCAAAAGAAATATTATTTATTGAAAAGACTAATAGACTTTCAAGTAAGACCCCTATCTAAAACTAAACAACATATGAGAACACGCCAATGTGGGGTCACAAGGCAAGATGTAGGTAGCCCAGCTTGTAATTAATTTGCAGGACGGGAAAATGGGGGAGGGAGGGGTATTGAATGCTAAATGTAGCATCAGAAAAATGCGAATTGCATTTGAAAAATAATTATCGATTCGAATACGTGAATCTGCTGACGATAATAATTCCACGTGTAAGATAAACTGCGTCCGAAAGGGAAATCGGCGCGTAGAACTAATGTGGAAAGAAACGGTATATAGATTCACGATTTTCCAGAAAGATTTAAGATTTACAAGTTGGGCTACCTACATCTTGCCCTGTGACCCACATTGGCGTGTTCTCATATGTTGTTTAGTTTATTGAAAAGGTTTTTTTTAGGGGACAACTTTTGACAACATCAATATCGATTTACATCGTCGAATCGATGACTCAACTATCGAAAAATTGTACGTTTGACACAAAAGTATGCAACGATGTTTTAAAATTCTCGGAAAATAAATGTCAAACATACTATAATGTTAAATTTGCCTCGATGAGTAGACTTCACTGCTCGTACTTAATAAGTCATTATTTTTAACTATGTGTGGTAAGATATATTATTTTAGTACAAAGTGTAATTTAAAAAACAACATCCGCTCTCTAAAAGTCAATCAGTGGATTATCACTAAAAATTGTGAATATTCACAGATTCACAGTTATAAGTAGAGCACTGAATAATTCAATGCTACACTTCTACCTGTTTTCGGCGATAATGCACTGATTGACTTTTAGAGAGTACACTTTTTATTCAACTCATTTTATGGTTTCTTTTAACTCCATTGTTTAATTAAACTGAAAACATATTGAGTAGGAGCAGTGGTGACTCAAGTCAAATTTAACGCTAAAAATTTAACTGTGTAAATACGATATGAATATAAAAACATTTTTCATCTCTATCACACGATAGATAATCCAATAAATCGAAGACGACCTTTCATAATCATTGTCGATATTTTGCAATCGCGTATACGCGAATGCACGAACGGAAGACACGCGCGGACAGATATCGTGTTTTCGTTACGTACACAATCTCCGCAATTTGTCTTATGGCCCTGAGGCCCTTCCAGAATAGCCGCGCGGGGCAACGAGTATGTCGAGCGTAATTATCGCAAGCGGGAATGTAATATACGCAACGAACACAGCATCTGAATATTACATTACACGCGTGTTCCCCCTCTCTCGCCCGTAATGCGTGTTCCAAACACGCCTTTTGTTCCCGTTACGCACGGCAAAAGCGGCGGGTACCTACTCTTTCCTCGCTGGGTTCGATGCTTTAGTTTACTGCGCCACGGGCAGTTCGTAAATAGCGGCACGAAAGCACATTATCGCGCCGAGCGTGAGAAAATGTTTTTATGCACGCCAACAAAACGCTCAAAGTTTAAAGTAGAATTGACGTCCCTTTATCATTTATTGGCGCAAAGATAATATATCCGTTTTATATATCTTTACACGCGAAACAATATTAACTGCTTCAATACAAAAATACTAATAGTTTCTAATTTCAATAGAAACAAAAGATTCTCGTAAGAATCAAATTACACTTTTTTTTTAATACCTCGGAAAACTTTTACGCAATTTACCTCGTAAATGTCGTAAAGTTTATAACAAGTCCTGGCAAATAAAACGAAAAATTTCAAGTAAAACTGCGCATCCAGCGAGAAACTGGTCTCGCGATTTCGAGACATATCCCTTGCAGAAATATGACGCTCAACTGTACCTCTGTAACGTTATTTTTCTTCCTAAAGTCGAATATTTATTTATAAGACGTGGCATGTGACGCAAAACGTAAGTCGCGATGCGACAGGCATGCCTATATTTAACAATTCTTTCTACGAAACAGGCATATTAGTACACGCACGAGAGGAAATGCATCTCTGTTCGATGTATCCGCAGTCCAGCACAAAGGCGCGCAGAAATCGAGCGCGGGAGCCGGAGCGAACGAGCGTGTTTGCGGTTCCGTGGCGGACGTGGACAGAGATAACGCGTTAAAATAGTACGCCGGCGTACGCGATAACACATACTTATAATATCTTCGCTACGAGAGACGTCGTTCTCCTCTCGGCGATATTAAATCGCATTAAATGGTGCCGAGCGGTGGCGCTTTTTGTCGACGCCTCCCAGAAACGCCCGCGTCGAAGTTTCACTGGCCAGACTTATCTCGGTGCTTTACGATCAGCCTCGCATTAAACGAATCGACGATAAGATGTAACATCCTTCTTCGCGTTAATTTATCATTAAGATAAAAATAATCTGTATATATTTACAATCATTGTAGAATTATTATATGCACTTTCGCACTATTGCCTTTCAAGTAATTCGTCAAGCACAATCTTATATATTTTATATATAACTGTAAATGGTTTATATTTTAATTTATAAAATAACTGAACTCCAATTCGAGTTTAAACGCTGTTGCAACTGCGACACACGCACGTATGATAGTCTATTTTCGTTTCAATAATAGCGACTGTTAATAGGCATGATTTGCATAAACCTCGCAAGGAGGCCCAAAGTATATCGATGCCGCTGTTCGCCGATGATGCCGAAGAGGAAGTGTCGTGCAACGACGGACAGATGAGAATATTATAAAAATATTTTCTTTTATCTCTTGCATTTCACTTTGTTTTTAACTACGATCAATAACTAACAGCTACAGAATCTTGTATGTAACAACGCGTATATCGCTATCACTAAAAAATGGGCAATAAAGAAAGATTGAAACGGATGTAGCAGCTAAGAATTGACGAGCTTACCTAAACAACATCGCAGAGCGACTCAGGAAGAAGATGGTCGAAGTTCTGATGCTAAGTTGTAAGCATACTGCTGCGAATCTGTTCCCTTTGCGGTTTCAGCCTGGTCGTCAAGCCACCTGTAAGATATAATAATGATAGATCAGCGCAATCGGATAATAATCGCACGAACATCGCGTGATAATGTAACACGAAACTACGAAACACACATTACACGTTCGATTAAAGATGAAGGCAAAAAAGGCACGAGCAAAAAAATGATGATATCTGCGTCTTTCGCTACGTCACCGGACGCAAAGTGTATTAACAAGAAGACAAACTTTGTATATATTCCTTATCATTGAATCTGTACTCATAAACACTGCGTTACGTCATTTATTAAAAAACTACACAGAAAAAGAAAAATACATATAATTATCGTTTTGTGTAAATCTGTATTAAAAATATTATTTAACTAGATATAAATTTTTGTTAAAAATTGAAAACGAGGAATAACACAAGATCAAACTGTTCAACGGTTGAAAATTATTATTAATATATATATTTACAATATTTTTATATATAATTCTGATGATTTCATCCAAACAACCGGTCGAAAAAATATTAACATTCAGTTGCCGATATGCTAGTCAAAATACCGCAATTCTGGTTCATGTAAAATATTTTTTCATGCTTCTGAGCATGCGTGAGAAAAATGTTTCTTATAAAAGTTAAATTTCGAATATATTAATAACGGTTTTAATTTAAAACATAATTATTTTACAGGAAAAGTGATTAATATTTAAATACGTAAGAATCACTCTCGGAATCACTGTAACACAAATACATCTGCTCACTCTGTAATAACTGACCACAGATTGAACTTGAATCATGATTTTAATTGGACTGAAGTTGAAATTTTAGATGAAGAAAGATTCCTAAGTAAGAGACTCATTTCAGAAATGCTTTACATTAAAAGTCAGAGCATAATGGATTAAATCTGCCGTTTGACACGAATGATCTTCCGCATTATTATATTTCTTCCATAAACCAACTTCCAGATCTCTAATGTTTTTGTAAATAAGTACGGATTTACCCTCCACAGTCTGCTATATGTTTCTTTTATAGTTTATCTCATTGCTCACTTTCATCAATAACACACGTATTATTTTAATTTTAATTTAATAGTCGGTATCATCTCCCTTTTGTTTCGACTTGATTCTTCTTTATAATGCAATGCTTATCAGGTACTTATTACTCACTTCTCTTTTGACTTGGCGCCTGCTTTTATATTTTTCAATTTTTAATTTTTTTTATTGTCATTTTTTTATCTTGTTCACTCAGCACAGGTTTAAAGGGTCGCTGTGAAGTTGGCACCTCAACTATTCGCACCACAAGTTTTCATGCAACTTCTATTTGCACCCGCAATAGTTCTACAGTTCCTGATAAGTTATATTAATAGTTTCGTCAAAATAGATATAAGAACAGCCATTAAAAAAAAATGAGGTGCTAACTTCCCGTGGCACCTCAGGTTTCCGAAAAACATGATTTCAACTATGGAATCTTATAGTTCTCGATGAGTTATACAGTTCCTGATAAGTTTTACCCAAAGTTCTTGCTTGTAAATATTTATAAACAATTTTTTAATCTGACCACTGGCACGTTATTTTATAAAAGTATGCGGTGCTGATTGCTTTTATCGATTTTCTGACAGTTCTCGACAGTTCTCACATAGTTCCAACCGTTTCGATACATTTTAGCAATAGTTCCGCCCGTTTAATATTTTTAAACAA